CGGCAGAAGTCCGGGGTCCCTGGTGGCAGCGGGGGGAGGGGGCAGGACCCCCCGATGGACCCCGAATAGTACTCCAGCGCCCATCATCTCTGGCCCGCCCAGTGCTCTCCTCCTGCCCTTCCACAGATACGCTGAGGGCCGCCCCATCCTCCCCAGCCGCTGAGCATCTTTCAGGGCCCTCCAGATCTGTGGGGCTACAATGCCCATCATCCCCAGCCAACACGCTCCCTTCCCCTTCCTCCTAGGTATGCGGGATTACAGCCCCCATCATCTGGGGCCTCTTCCTTTCCCCATCACCTTACAGGCCTGTGAAGCTGCAGCTCCCATCATCCCCAGCCAACATGTTCCCCTCCCCTTGCTTCCTGGTATTTATATATTTAGTTTCAACCCTTCTTTATTATTTTTACAAATAACTCAAGGCGGTGAACATACAATTTCTGTAGGTAGAATAGACTATTCCATGATCTTAATGTTAGGAAGGGTTTTTTAAATATTTCAATGAAATCTAGGTTTTGGGGGGACGGGTTAGATTTTTTATCCCACCTTTATTATTTTTACAAATAACTCAAGGCGGTGAACATACCTCATACTCCTTCCTCCTCCTATTTTCCCCGCAGCAGCAACCCTGCAAGATGAATTGGGCTGAGAGCGACTGACCGGCCCAAAGTCACCCAGCCGGCTCTCGTGCCTCAGGCGGGACTTGAACTCACCATCTCCTGGTTTCTAGCCTGGGGCCTTCACCACTAGACCAAACTGGCTCTCAAACTGGTATGCTGGACTAAAAGACCCATCATCCGCACACCGCTCCCCCCCCCTGAATAATAACAACACTCATTCAGAAAGTCATGCTGGGTGTTTCTGTGCAGGACATAGGCACCACAGCTAATACAATAAAAAATAAAGCAGGAGCAACAGTTGCTCTTAAATTTTGTGCATGCCATTCCAAACCTGGTGGGCATCAATCTTTGAAGTTTTCTTCTGCAATTTTTTTTTTTTAATTTTTCCACCAGCCCATTCCTCTGAGCCTCTCCCCCCTCGTAATGCGTTGCAGGTTGAAGTTGCCGAAGAACCAAACGAAGCCACAGTGCTGCAGTTGGGAATAGAAAAATCTGGGAGGAATCGCCCCCAAAGGGGTGAACAACCAACCACCAAGTGGGCTTGCGAGAACCTTTGTCCGGGTTGCTGTACAGCAGTGTTGTCCAAACTTGGCCACTTTAAGATGAGTGGACTTCAACTCCCAGAATTCCCCAGCCAGGAGTTGAAGTCCACTCATCTTAAAATGGCCAGGTTTGGACAACACTGCTGTACAGGCTCCGCTTATTCGTGTTCAAATCTTTCTTTTTAGATTGTGATCTGTTCTGAAGATGGTGATCCCTGAACCCCCTTCAACTGCTGGCAGGCCTTGAGAGACTCGCTCTATACATCTCACTCATCCTCAGCCTCAGTGCCAAGACATCGCCATGTGGCACAAGGCCGTGTGTGTGGCCCTGCTGGCCTTGGCCACCGGCTACATCTTCTGGCTGGACCCTGCTTTGCCAGACGTTTTGTTGGAGTATCTCTCGGGTTCCTTCCTGTGCCAACTCTGGGGGGATCCTGGGTCCCCAGAAGTCAGCATGGCAGCAGCATGGGATGCCCTCATCACCCGGCCAGCTAAGCAGTGGAACAGAGTTGCTGTGGGGTAAGGAGTGATCAACTGGTGGTTTGTGTGACATAGTTTTGAAGAGCGCCCGACTCTCGATGACTCGGAGCGTTCTACATTTTTAAAAAATCAGAACAGTGAAATGACAAATGTGGGATATTGTTGTTTAGATTATCCCCAGCTAACAGAATCATCTGTTGTCTGCTATAAAGCAACTATCTCAGAAACTTGCTGGAGACGAAGCTTTCCAGCTGGGCGTCTTTGTTGGGGTATGTCTCCCTGGCAGAATCCATCTGTGGCTGCCTGCTTCTGTGGCACGTGGGATGTGGACTTTTTCCATGATGGGGAACTTTCTTGGGGGGTGTGTGAAATGCCCATGCTTCGTTTTTCCCACAGGAAAATTGCCATCCCACGTCCCTCTTGATGCAGAAGGGCCTATGCGAACGGAAGGGGGTTGCACAGAGAGTTGATGTGGGATTGCCCTCTCCCTTCGCTTGCTCTTCAGGGTCAACGCCTGTGTAGATGTGGTCCTGTCTGGGGTGAAGCTGCTGCAGGCCCTTGGCTTCCACGGCGAGGTTGGGAAAGACCATTCTGTGTTGCATTCCGCCGCAGATTTGGAAGAAGCCTTTGTCCACTTTATGCGGAAGGGAGCCGCTGCAGAACGGTTTTTCAGTGACGCAGACGCCTTCCACCACATCGCAGAGACGGCTTCCGATTATCCTGGCGCGCAGGTAGGTTCTTCAGTTCAGGGTTCCTCGACCTCAGCAACTTTAAGATGGGTGGACTTCAATTCCCAGAATTCCCCAGCCAGCCATGCTGGGTGGGGAATTCTGGGAGTTGGAGTCCACCCATCTTAAAGTTGCTGAGGTTGAGGAACCCTCCTTCAGTTGGAAAGGAGGTACTCGTGGCTCAGTTGGGATCATGAAGGCCTATTCTAGAAGTGTGCAATATTTGGATCCGAAACAGGCGGGCTAAGGATCCAAAGCATTCTTGCCCTTTCTGGATCTGGGAACTACAGTCTGAAAAAGTGTTATCTTACAAAGCTTATGCTACGTTTTTCAAACTTGGCCACTTTAAGATGTGTGGACTTCAACTCCCAGAGTTCCCCAGCCAGAATTCTGGGAGTTGGAGTCCACCCATCTTAAAGTTGCTGAGGTTGAGGAACCCTCCTTCAGTTGGAAAGGAGGTACTCGTGGCTCAGTTGGTATCATGAAGGCCTATTCTAGAAGTGTGCAATATTTGGATCCGAAACAGGCGTGCTAAGGATCCAAAGCATTCTTGCCCTTTCTGGATCTGAGTATTACACGTTACTAGCTTTTTTGTATTACCAACAATCACGTCAAAATAACAAAGTCTTGGTCTCTGGTTAGATTATTGCCATGTTTTTCAAACTTGGCCACTTTAAGATGTGTGGACTTCAACTCCCAGAGTTCCCCAGCCAGAATTCTGGGAGTTGAAGTCCACACATCTTAAAAGTGGCCAAGTTTGAAAAACACCAAGGTAGAGGAACTACAGTCTGAAAAAGTGTTATCTTACAAAGCTTATGCTACACAAGCTAGTATGTGTCAGGCATCCCCCAAGTTTTATTTTGCGATGGGCTTAAATGATGAGACTCTCCCATTTCCTAAAAAAACACCTGGTTTGTGTGCAGTACTATATTTTCAAAAAGCATTTTTGGCCTCGGCAGGTGACAACACCTCCCTGACCTGGAAGGACAAGCAGGATTGGGGCTGGTTATTACTTGAGTCACCTGGGAATTCCAGAGTTAAGCTGGGAAGTTGAAGAAATATTCCCAGATAGATTTTCTTCATGATGATCTGTTCCTTACATGGTCCTTCAGGTCTTCCAATGGTGCCCCCATCACCACTGTAACCGAGTCCATCCCCCTTGCTGCTGGTTATCCTCTTTTCTTTCCTTCCATCTTTCCCAGCATTATAGACTTTTCAAGAAAGCTAAGTCTTCATTTTAATTAATTATGTGCCACCACGTTGGTGTCGACTTTTAGCGACCACATAGATATACTCCATGACGATCTGTCCCTAACCTGTTACTTCAGCTCTTCCAATTCACTGAGTCTTGCTGCCGGTCATCTTCTTCTCTTTCCCAGCATCAGAGCTGGCTCTTCGCATAATGTGTCCGAAGTAGGCTAATTTGAGCCAAATTCCCAAAGAAGGCAGTGGCAAATCACTTCCAATATAATGCTGCCAAGGAAACTGCCTGGATGTGGTCAGCAGGAATCAACTCCTGCATTTTTCCCTTTTAATTTTCTTTTAATAAAGGCATTAGGGGATAGCTATATCTCTCTCTCTAACATGGGGATGAAATTGGTATCAGGCTGGCCTTGCAAATAAGCTTTTGTAATTAAACTTCCTACAGCTGGGTTCAGCTGGCCTAAAGAATGAAAATGTGAAACATTGCCCAATGCTACAGAACACACCAGTTTTCCAAGGCTACCTCGAGCCTGTGTTTCTTGAATAACCTGTTTGAATAATTTCAGGTAGATAGCGAATCTTCTGAAATTTATAACTATGTAAATTTCTGCAAAGTCATGCCAGTTCTTTGCTGCCAGCTCTACCAGAAGCTCTAAATCTGCTGTGAGTTGACAGCTTATTTTATCATTCATCAATCTCATTTTAATTTAGGACTTGATTAATAGGTTTAAAATTCTTCATGTTATAACACTCGCATTTACAAGACATTTGAGAGGCTGGAGGGCTTTCTGCATGAGCTCAAGGAGCTGTGGGTCAATTTTTCCAGCTCTATACAAACAAGCACAAATCTGTCCCATTTGTACTTATTTTGGGAGATTTAGTAGCAGACTAGAATTAGCGATATCTGATGTTCAGAATGTGTTTCTGAAAGCAGGAAGACTGCTGGTCCTCTCTGGGAGGTGGAGTTTGCAGTCTGTTCTTCATTAAAAAAAATATGTAGAGCAGATGAGCGAACCAAAATAAAACTGAAAGCAATGAAGAACTGAAAATGTCTGCAAGATTCAGAAGCAAATGTGTCAAGGAACTGAAAGCTTGAATAGAGATACGTCCAGCAACTGAGAATTCATAATCAAGAGAGCTCCCCAAACAATCCTGCCTGTTCTCACCATCTCTCCCTTTTTCTTCTTCTCTCGCTCTCCAATTTTAAGTATGTATAAAATTGTTCCCACAGAAATCTACAGCATTGGAAAATGGCACTGACCCATGAAACCTTATGCTTAAATGTAATTGGTTGATTTTTAAAATGCCACCTCTCTCTATCTCTCTCATACTATTTCAGTATTGGCAAAAGACTTAACAGTGTTTCCTCGTTGGAAAGTGGATTCATGAATTCTTACTTTCTTGCAGTTATATGTCGGAGGAAATGCTGCTCTTATTGGCCAGAAAATTGCATCTCATCCTGAGCTAAAGGTAAACCCTCAAACCCCAAACTTTATTCTTTGCCTGTAACTGGAGACTATACCGTCCCACTGGTTTTCGTGTTAAAAGCCTAGCACATAATATCGCATCATTCTCTCTCTCTTATCAAATACTCTTACAGCTATAGCAAGGGGTGACTGATGTCCTGCAGCTCTCATAGAGGTGCACGTGTTAATAGTTTAAAGCTACCCCATCAGCAGCCTCCCGTTTTTATTACACATTTGCAAATCCACAAAGAACAGGTTGGCAAAGAGTGGTAGGGAACAGCGGATGAATTTTTTTTTTTTAAATAAGCATGAGTAAAGGCCATTGTGCCCGTCCTTTTCATTACAGTGTAGCTGCTGTTTTTCTTCCACCCTCTCTAGCCAAGAAAGGCCTGCTTGTTTGCTTGGCTTGTTTGTTTATATATTTATGGAATTTATACACTATCTTAATCCAATTGGACTCCAGATGTGATGGATGCTACTCTGATGAAACATAAAAACAGCCCTCTGGCCACAGAAGGCAGTACATGGTGAGGAAAGCAGCAGGCCCTCATCATAGCAAGGGGGGGAAAATGTGAATAGGTGAATCAGGAAGTTAAAAAAAAAAGGCAAATCCCTAGTAACTTTTCAGTAATTATTTGTAAGAGGACTTACTTCTTCCCATCTGCATTTTGTATTATGGCTCGAGATGCGCTTGACACATCACAAAGGATTTATGGATTCATTCTTAGTAACGTAAACCATGTTTAGTAACAGTTTACTAATTGAATCAAACAGCAGCATTTGTATACGTAAGTATGAGTGGGAGATGTTTGCTGTTCTTCAGGAATTTCGCATACAGCTGCTGTCTGTATCGTGATGATAATGTAGTTTAAGATAATGTAAGCAAATTACAAATGGACAACGTAAATGGATTCTCCGTGCCCTTACTATGGCCAAAAGACTCATACTGTAGCATTGGAAAGATAAATGTATGGCCCCATTTAGTCAATGGATTGAAGACCTGATTGTACTTGCTACTTATAAGCGGATGGCCTACAGATATAAACTTTGTATGGACAAGTACAATGAAATATGGGACTCATTTATGCAAAATACAGTAGGTTAATTTTTTTTTTAAATGATAGCTGTATTAGAAATATATACATACTAGAATAACATTCGCATTAGATAAGCATATATAGAATTGGGTTGTATTTCTTTCATTTTTTTGTTAAAGCACTTTCTTTGTGTTTTATTTTTCCTTTTCAATAATAAAAACATTAAAAAAAAAAAGCAAATGACACAGGTCTGTTCCTTGGAGCTTTCAGTCTAAATTTAGATCTTGAGCAACAGAGAGGCAAAAGTAATCAGGGATGAATATGAACAAATGTGGCTTCACAAACATGTCATGATCGACCTTTATATCCTGTTTTTAATTTATCAATCAATACGGAAATGTGTTGCCTGCATATGCTATGCATCTATAAATGACCAGGATCAAAAATGGAAAATTCATTAAGAATGTAGCAAATTTGAGAGAAGCTATTATCAGTCTGTTCACTTGTAGGTTCTACTCTGTGGCCCGATTGGCCCTAAACTCCATGAGTTACTTGACGAGAATGTAATGGTCCCTCCAGAATCACTGCAAGAATTAGATGAATATCATCTTATTTTGGAATACCAAGCAGGTATGTGCCATTTGGAGATACAGAAAGCTCACTGGTAGAATAATGTAAATAACTATAATGTAAAAGGACTATAATGTAAAGGACTATATCGTTAATATGCAGCCGCGCAGACTATTGCTGGAGCCCCAAGGAGGGCCCATGTAACGCCTCTGCTCCGCGAGCTGCATTGGGTGCCAGTTTGCTTTCAGGTCCAATTCAAGGTGTTGGTTGTCACCTTTAAAGCCCTACATGGCATGGGACCAGGTTATCTAAGGGACCGCCTTTCCCCTATGACTTCACCCCGTCCCACCCGATCACACAGAGAGGGCATGCTTCGGACCCCCTCGGTGAAAGAACTTCAACTGGCGGGGTCAAGAAGGGGGGCCTTCTCTGCGGTAGCCCCTGCTCTTTGGAACACTCGGCCCCCGGAGGTGCGATTGGCCCCCACACTCCTGGCCTTCCGTAAGGCTTTGAAGACCTGGTTCAGCCACCTGGCCGGGGTGGGGAGGGAATACCTCAAGCATGGGGATGGCTAGCCTCATAGAGGCCTCCTCAGACTTTTCATCCTCTTGGACTCTCCT